TGATCTAGATCTCTAGAACCAATAGATCTCTTTTTTTTTTTAAGTTGAAAGGTACTTAAGTTTAGACTTAGATCTGAGGTCAATCTCCACTAGTTCCATGGGCTAGTTTCCTCATGGCGATCAATCTCTTGGATGGCATTCAAGAGGGAGGACTTGAGTTGGGAGAAGTTGCCAGGGATGGATCGACTCCAAGTTTTGATCGCGGTTCTAAGGGTTTGGAGTTTGGTCTAGAGGATATACCCTGCACTGCCCCGAGACCTGTGCGGCAAGGGAATTCTACCAGGTTTGTAGTAGGGTAGGAAAGTCCTTTTCAAGGAGCCAGTCGAGTTCAAATTTGAAGGGCCTGGGGCCTCTCAGAATGGCATCTGTGTCAAGCAAAATGGGACAATGGTCCGAGGTGGGTTTTGGAAGGGCTAAAGATGAGGATCTTGGAAATAGGTCCTCCCAGTTCAGAGACAGGAGGAACCTATCAAATTTTGAGAGAGTGGGGTTAGTAGCATGGTTGGACCACGTAGAATGACTCCCCTGAAGGGGAATGTCTAAAAGCTCAGTTCGACTGATGAAGTTTGAGAAATCCCTCATATCCGGAGAGATAGAATTTGAGGAGTTTCTTTCATGGGACCAATGGGTGACATTGAAATCCCCTCCTAGGCACCAAATGGGGTGTGTGAGGGAAGCTACATGTCCCAGTTCGGACCAAAGCCTGCTCCTGAGGGTAGATGAGGTAGGGCCATAGACTGTCGTAAATTTCAAAGGGACCCCATCCGAGATGCACGAGAGGAGTATGGTCACAGAGAAAACCCCTATGACGTACGAGTTTAGGGTGAAGTCAGAGGGATCCCAGACCACCCAAATCCCTTCTAAGGCAACATTAGCTGGTAGGGAGACCCACTGACTTGGTCTTCTTCCCCATACTTGGCGGATGAGTTGTAGGTTAGGTTATGGGAGTTTGGTTTCAAGGAGGGCTAGAATAGTAGGGCAGAGTTTAGAGGTGAGGTCCTTAACAACACTCTTCTTGGAGGACTGTCCTAGCCCTCTTATGTTCCAGATGAGGAACTTCATTTCTTAGCTGTTGGCATAGAAGGGACGGAGGCCAGTCTAGGAGACCTCCTTGGATGTTCGGTGGAGACGGGGGCGGGAGAGCTAGCAAGGGGCTCTCTTGCAAAAGGCACTGAGGAGAAAAGATTACAGAGTTCTCTTTGGCCTCTGAATCTCACTTGTAATCTATTATCTGCGTTAGCTGTGAGAAACCTGTGGGCTGGTCCTTCCTGTCCGTCATACTCGAAACCCATGATTCTGTACATCTCTCTCATCCTTGCATCGATGCAGTTTGGTCCATCCCTGTCGACCTCCTCGGCTTCTACGGGCTCCTGGGAGGGAGAGATGGGGGTTGGAGTATTTTCGAGGGACCCTGGAGCTGAAGCTGCTAAAGTTGTGTCAACAACTCTGTTTATTTCATTCCTGTCGACCTCCTCGGCTTCTACGAAAGCCTGGGAGGGAGAGATGGAGGATCTTGCATACTCGGGGAGCACCATCTTAGCTACTGCCACGGGGGGAGAGGGGTTGGAGAGGTAGAGGTCAGGGGGTAGAGCAGGCAGGTTGACAAAAAGTGGGGGGTTGGAAACAGGGAGAGAGGAAATAGTAGGTGGGGGTGGAGGAGGCAGAGAAGGGTCTGGCTGAGGGTTAGTCGACTAAGGGACAAGGGGGAGGTTGGCTTGAAGGCCAGGGGAGAAGGGGTGAGGGGGTTAACTAAAGGAGGTAGGAGAGCTTGGGGATGGTAAGAAAAGAGTAGGAAGGGATATAGGTAAGGTAGGTAAGGTAGTGGTGCGTTTGAATGGCAGAGTAGCTTGAAAACAACAAGGGAGAGGAGGAGGGCCAAGAAACATGGATGGTACTAACTTTGTGGATGTGTACGAGGTTAGGGGTGAAGGAGAGATGGGGGGCTAGCAGGTTAGAAACAGAGGCTGGGTCAGGGGAGAGCGGTCCAAAGAATGAGCTGCAACAATTCCCAGTGGAATAAGGTCCATGTGTGAGAATCTGTTGGAGTGATAACCTTTCGAGGACATGTTATACTTGACAGGTTGAAAAAAGTCACCTAGGTTGAGAGGGTAGAAGGTGAGAGAGAGAGGGGAGGGTGGGGAAAGCAGAGGGTCCTCCAGTGAAGAGGTGTGGAAAACTGGGGTAGGGTTAGCCTGCGGGTAGGGGTACAAGATGACGGGGTTATAGAGGGGGTAGAGGAAGGTGAGGTACAAGATGATGGGGTTACTGAGGGGGTAACAAGGTGAGGCAAGGTGGTAGTGAGAGGGTGGGAGGAAGGGGGGGGAAGGAGGGGGAGTCACCCCCATGGGCAGAGGGTGTAGCTACGGGGTCGAGAGTGGGTGGCTCCGTGGCTCCAGAGGAGGGAAGGGGAACGGCTGGGGTGGGTGGAGAGCTGCAGGTCAGGTGCTGAGGAGCAGTGAGAGCCAGTGAGGGACGCTCGAAAGTAGGGCCAGCCGACATTGGTAACTAATGCTGTGGGCATCGTCAGAGACATGTGTCCTTGCTGTAGAGGGGAAGAGAACGACGAGGGCGACGGAGGGGTAACGTGCAAGGAGGAGGAAGGGGGCGACTGCAGCACGGAACGAGGGCTAGAGGGCAGACTGAGCGAAAGGTGCGATTCATCTTGGGCTCGAGGGGACACGTGGATGGGGATGACAGGGGGGGCATGGAGGTAATGATGAGAGAGGGGTGGGACAAAAGTCGGTGGGAGAGGAGAGAGAGGGTATGGAGTGCAGCAGGCCGGGTTTGTCAGCAAAGCCCGTAAGAAGTGGAGGTGGAGAGGTGTCCTCTAGAACTTCTTTTCCGGGTCGACGAGACAAAGGTGGGATGGAAGCTGTGGGTGACCCTGTCCTAGTAATAACACCGGGTCTAACAGCGGACTCGGGGTTAGTAAAGTTGGAGAGGAGCATGGAGCCCGAGGATGCCAGAAGGCAGGGTTCTGACTGGAGAGTTGTGGGCCAACTGGTTTGAAATGGGCCGGGTTAGGGGGTCGTCTACGAGGGCGCTACCGGTGTCATTTCTTCCTGAACACCACAGTCCATGCTTGATCATGGTTTTTTGGTGTGGAAACCGGTGGGGTAACAAGGTCGACATGTTGAAAAAATTTTGTGGAGGGAGGCGAGGCTGAAGACCACGAAACTGAGACGCAGTAGTAAAGATTATCAACTTCAAGCCAGATCGTCTGTGGGATGCGGCTCATATCTAAGACTTCCAAGAGAAGTCGAATGGATCCCAACAGTAGGGTTTCCATGGAGATCCAGTGAATGGAGACCAAGGAACCACAAGCTTCCCCAATCCTCTGGAAAATCTCAGGTGTCCACGCATGAAGGGGGATGTGTTTAAGGGTGAGCCAAACCCTTTGTTTACAAAAGGAACCTTCAACAGGCGACCATACCCGAAGAAAAACACGGGCTCCTTTGAAAGAAAGGTTGGATGCTTCCTGTAAAGCAAGCTGAGCTCCGGCAGGGGACGGAAAGGAGAACAGGTAATCGCCATTGGAAAGGCCTCTACATAATAGATTCGGTTCCTTCAGAGTTCTACTTGCCCATCTCTCGTTTCCTTTGTGGTCATCACGACGAGGAATAAAGCTCCCTACTAACGCTGCTGACAGTTTAGAGCAATGAAACTTTGTTTCTTCGGGAGATGGGGATAAACAAAAGGAAAGGTAAGGAGAGCAGGGGCAACGTGAGAGGTCCCAAGAGGGCAAGAGGGGTTTGGGAGGGGAGGCAATAGTTGGTTTGGTCGTTGAGGTGACCTGAGCAAAAGAAGCCTTATGGTTGAGCGTCGTGGTCTCCTGAGCCACAAACCTGTTGTGCTGCTGGAAGATTAGGTGGGGAGGGGGGTTCATAGGGCGAGATTGTAGAAGATGGCTTTTGGGATACAAGTCGTAGATGCGGTTCCAGCTGAAAGAGGGGAGGGGGAGAGGCAAGGCCATCTTTTTTTACAAGAGTTGAACTTCCAAATTCAATTCATGGAGTTTTTTGACAAAATTAATTATTCACACAACAATAAATAAATCTATTTTGAAGGGAATGGTGCATGCCAAATTTGTATCATGACCTGAGGATGTAGTGGTCATAAGAAAGGTGGACTTATAAAATCACATAATTAATCTATTGTTGTTCATGCAAAAAATAAATAATCCCTGATAAATGGCACTTGCGGACCTCGGGGCCGATCAGCTAAGGACCTTAATTTCTATACTTTAAAAATCTCGATATTAGAACAGGAGGAACCCCGTTATAAGACATACTTAAACCTCGATTCCTTAACCAAGGGAACTAGTACTAGATCTACTTACTATGTTAATTTTTTGTGTGGTGGAGCTTAGATTCCTGCTAGTCCAAACATCGTACCCATTGACATCGGGTCTCTCTCCCATAAACCAAAGGATTTCGCTCCTTGTCTTGTTCATTGTATGGACGCCAATCCTAACCCCAGGAAGCTTCCACTATAGGGTGGTTCGGCGAATCTCGAACCGATCCTGCTCGTGCCTCCAACAACTATGAGTTGGACAAACCGAGCAGCTGCCCACTTTAAGCTACATGATGCACATGCACATGTTTAGGGTTTGTTAGTGAAGATGATTTGTGTTTATATTATACTTCTAGCTGCATTTCTTATTATACTTCTAGCTGCATGAAATTCATGGGGGATTTTTTTTAAACTGATCATTTTATCATTGGAAGTTTATGAAAATACACCTCATATTGCAACTATTCAACATTTTATCATTTTTCTACTATTTCAACTCAAAATCATGTGTATTTTGAGTGGCATTTTGAAATGAAATCAAAACAAATGGTAAACGACTAATATCTGAGGTGCATTTTGACAAATTTCCCTTTTATCATTTGTGTTGCTGATGAGCTACTTCTTGTATGATAAAGCTATATAAATCAGCCGTGTTTTGAAATACGATGGATGAATTCTCTGATATAGATTTGTTATTTACAATCCAGTGCAGTGATAAACTGGGCTTGAGCCTTGAGTTGGGGTCGTTTGCTGCGGGAGTGATGATATCAACAACTGATCTTGCACAACATACTCTTGAACAAGTAAGATTATGTCAGTTTTAATCGTGATCTTTAGAAAGTTTCTAAAATATATTGTGTTGTGGGTGCTACCCTTGCATACCTATAACTTCTATTTTGATTGTGAGTTCATTATTTTGTATAGCAATGTGATTGTAGGCTGTTGAAGTTGCTGATGCCACATTAATGATTTTGATCAATTGAAAAAACAAAGTTTGCTCTGATAGTGGTAACTGTTTTTTTAATGGTATTATCAATGTTTTGATCAAGTGGTATTATGAATGTTTTTTTGTATCTTTTGAAGTGCTGTGATATTATCAATGTTATTATTTGATCTAATGAGAATTTCCATGTATGCAAATACAAAGTTAAGGTCAAAATGATCAAAATACTATATGAATAATTATGTGATGTGAATATACGTTCATCACTCCTTTACTCCAAAAAAAAGAATATACGTTCATCACTCCTCCACAATACAAATAAGCAATGGTTTTTTCACTGCGCAGTCGTATATTCCGCTGTCTATTGAATTAGTGGATTGATGCTATCAGATATGATCTGAAGAAATAATATAAGGCAAACTGATAATTTCTGTCAAGTAATCTCTTTATAATTGCAGTGAGAGTTGCCCTCAATTTGTCACCTCTCATACATGGGATTAGAAGCAATGAAAAAGTGCCTAACTTATCCCTAGATTTGCTTGAAGAGCTGATATAAGCTCATTCTGAATGCTGCTGTAACTTTATTGATGGATGGGATTATTTAGAGATGGGGGTAAAAGGAGGTTCTTACTCAAGTAGGTGGGTCAGAGATTTCTCTGTTTTTTCAAGTAATTGGGGTAAAGAAATGGGACCTACTCATGAATTTTTTATTTCGCTAAGTAACAGATTGTGGATCTGTCGGACTGCATGCAGCCATCTCACCAGCCGTTGATGGCTTGGTAAGAGCATTCCTCTATAGCTAATGGAGCCTATGAGTCCACAGCCAGTAATCACACTCTGGTCTGGACACATGGCATTAGGTCATTGTCCAGATTGATGTGCATGTCTCCATTGTGTCAGTGAGAAAGGATATACAACCTGTAGAACAGATCTGTTCAATTAAAGTCGTATGATGAAATGGAATGGACTGGACAATCCCTAAAACTATTTCAAGCAAGTGGGCAGAGAAACAGGACTGTTTCTAAACAAGAGGTCCATCCAAATTGGCCTGTAGCCTTGCACCCTACCTTTGATCTGAACTTTGGTGCAATATCCTACTTCTTATTCTTCCAGAAAACAGGATATTCTCCAAGCATTATATATAGCTTGATGTACCCTTTAGTCTGCGCATGCCTCTTATCTCAAAAGAGAAATAATATATTATGCAAATTTGGACGGTCTTCCCAATAATCTGCCAAGTTCGAGTCAACATGGGATACCAGCTATTGATTCGATAGGAAAGACAAGACTGTCATAAGTTTGACGCCAAAACAATGTATTTGATAAATGTGATGAATAACAGTTAAATTCATCATTTTAGAAGATCACTTCTCAAGCTAACTACTTGCGTTGTTAAGAAGAAATAACCTATGCAGTTTTGGGCGAATTCAGTGGAGGAGGAGCATGTTTTGAAGGCAGGGACCGTATAGAGATAATATGGGAAGTAAAGGAAATGGAAGAGTTAGCAGGGCGCTAAAAAATTTGGTGTCTGATATTAATTATGTTCATCAAACCTGCCTTTGAAGGTTCATCAGATGGCAGGCATCCTCTAGCGATCAACCAAAACCCAGCATGAAGATCATTGCGTGTAATGTGAGAGAATTGGGGGACCCCAAAAAGATGTTAGTGAAGCTGTTTGTGAGCGAAATCAAGCCTGATAATCTGCTACTACTGGGTTACAAAATCAGGAGGACCAGAAAGTTTGGAAATCCTATCCTTTTGCGAAGACATCCATTGAAGTGGTTGGTCATGCCCACCCTGGGAGCGTCTGGAGGAACTTGGGTTTTGTGGAGTCCCACAAAATTGTGTATGTCAGATAAAGTTTATAGTGGTGTGGTCTGTATCCGTAGAATTTATCGGGGTTGGGAGTGCTTTTTAGAGCTACTTCCTGAAAATCTGGTTTCTGAAATATATTGTTTGGTAGGTTGTCCAGATCTCATGGTGATTTTGGTTTCCATCCTGTTAAAACTTGGAAATTGGAAACCTAGGAATCTGGAAATTAGCCTATTTTATGTCAACCATTTATTGAACAGTTCATCAGGTAGAGAGTTGATTTTTTTCCAATGAAGGAGATTTTTTGGTCATAGCCCATTCATAGCAGGACTTACCAGATCAAAAGGTCTTGATCATAATGTTTGTTATAGTTATAAAATGGACTACTTCAGGATTGCAATATGCTATTGTAATAGCGCAAAGTAATCGGTTAATGGTTCCTGCAAGAAAAGTATTCTTCTTTATATGCATAAAGAGCCTTTGTCCTTCTCGTAGTAATGTTTGTTATGGTTTCCCTCTCTTCTTCATTGTCTCCGTTTTGCTTATGTAGCACCATATCAGTGGAAAGAAGCCCTAATCATCAACTCTTTTGATGTATGAAGTATCTGACATTAAAGTGGAAATTATTTCAGTGACAACAGAAACCATTTGGAAGCATTGCACTGTGAATCAACTGATAGAACCCATGCAAGAATGCTCACACACAATGCACTTTGAGAAGCTCTGCAATAGAGGTTTCTAGTTAGAAGCGTTGCATTACAAAGTCCAATAATAGAATGCATACAAAAGTACTGATGTAGAATGCAGCTTGATAACCTTAGAAAGGGGACTGATAGATTTGCTTCAATTTTTTCTCTTTTCTTCTGATAAGTTACTGTCCTTTAATTCTATGAAAGCTAGTACTTCATAAAGGGAGCTAGAGATTGAACACAATAACCAGAAATGTGGAAAAGTTACATATCATGAAAGAGTAGATTGTTCAGAGTTCAAACGAATGAAGAGGGGGCATGTGTATATGCACACACACACACGCACACACCACACACACACACACATGGAGAGTGATTTCATGCAATTCTCTTATAGTAATATAATGAAATGCACCTTCAAAAATCATGTCAGGAGCACTTGTTTGACTCAATTTTTGAACATGTACTTTATTTAAGTGATAACAAACTGAACAAAGAAAAATTGAAAACGTACACTTTAAAAAAAAAAAAAATGCTTTTTTTTAACCTAAAGACCATAGATTGTCCATTTGATGGGACGTTAGATATAAGCCTTTGAGGGATTATGCTTTATCTCAAATTATGCAAATGATAGTATACACATTAGATGAACATTTTCAAACAGACAAAATTGACTTTGAGTTATTAAAAGCCTAGCTCTCAACGTCCACCAAATAGATGGACAAGATCTATTGTTGAAGAGTGACTCGTTTGGACGAAATAGATGGCGTTGTTTGTTGGGATAAGAGAGTGAGTTGCAAAATTTGGGATCAAACAAATACTATGAACATATAATTTTAAAAAACAGTTTCATTATATTGTGATGAAACAGTGACATTCTGCCCCCCTCCCCTGTGTGCATGGGCAAACTCACAAACACATACAAAATATAAAATACAATGGAACCAGTCTCTTAAAAAAACCATGTTTGGCATTTGTATGATCCCAAATTTTGTACTCGCACTCTATTCATCTCAAAAAAGAAAAAATTGAATTTGCACTCTAGAAAAGGACGAAATGATCACTCTCCAACAATTAATCCAGATTGTCCATTTGGTTAACATTAAGACCTTGGCCTTTACAAACTCAAAATCAATTTTTTTTTTTGTTAAATTTTTTCAAACTCAAAATTTGGGATGAAAAAAATCCTTTTGAGGCCTAGATCTAATCAATCAATCATATAGACGGCCTATGTTCATTGGGTTAAAAAAAAGAGCGAGTTTTAGGGTGTGTTTTCAAATTTTGTTTTTGAGATTGTTTATTATAGTGAATTGAGTTCAAAGTTAGGGTCAAACAAGTGCTCCAAATATGGTTCTTGTAGGTGCAGTTCATGATATTACTAAGACAATTGCATGAAATCACTTCCCTATATATATATATCACTTCCCTATATATATATATATATATAGAAAAACGCCAACCAAACGGTAGGTACCTATAATGAATAGTGAT